AAGCTTTGCACTACCCGCGGGGTACATGCTTGCACGACACCCGGCGGTACTGAACTGAAAAAATTGAAGCGCAAAGTCGTTGTGCTAATATGCGTGCGGACAACATACTCCGTATATCCCCAACGCCCCTCGAAATCGATTGGTGAAGTTGTCACAACTTGGCATGCTCTATCCCGGTTGGTCAATGTTGCGAACATTGGGGGTTCGCGCCCTACTGCCCTGCCAGCGTGGCTGTTCACCCTCACACACCCCCGCCGGCTCATTCGAATCGTCGATCGGCTCGATCAACGCCCACGCTCCTACGGCTGCGTTCGCCTCGTCTACATCGTATGCATCTATCTAGAGGTATCTTCACACTGATGGTGCTTTGATCGTACGTCCGAAACCACGCGGTAGTCGTACGTGTGGCTAGTTTGCGGGGGCGCTGCCTGGCTGATCTACCCCAAGAACCACGCCATACCACGCCTCAAGAACACACAACGCTCAATCAATGCGCGATCCAGCTTTTCTGGAGGAGAGTCTTGAAGATGGAATCCGACCGGAAGCTCCATCGCGATGATGTCATCGTCGGAGTCGATGTCATCGTCGATGTCTAGATGTGACAGGGGGTCTTGAACACCGCCGTGGTCATCACCTAGCAAATGAAGCGATAAAAAAAATCGAGAAAAAGCCGGCTTGAGACATGCGCATTTGAAGAAATTCACAACCTCCCACCAGTGAATGCAAAACGAGGGGCAAAGGCGAAATACAAACCGGACCTAGACTCGAAAACTTACCATCATCATCTGCGCTTGCGTCGCTGTCGCAGCTTGATTCGCCACCGCCCGCCCCCCCATCGTCGTCGCCGACCTCATCATCCTGGTCGGGCATCTCCTCGTCACTGCTCGTGCCCCCGTCCATGAAGTTGTACGCCCCAACTACACCCTCCGGAGTGATGCGGTCGTCCAACGACCCGTCTGCCGTCATCGCCAGTCCGGTCTTCTCGAACAGGCGATGGCGGTACCCAGGCCGAGCGTCCATTCGCGCGACCGCCCTTGCAATGAATCGCGTGAAAAGGATTCGCCTTGCACCAGCTGAAAGCTTGTTGGTCTCCCACAGGCAAAGGTTTTCCTCGTGCCCAAGAAATTCATCCAGCTCGTTACCGTCTTCGACTTTGAGGAGGCGTCCATAGCCGGCATCGACCGGTTGGAGTTCGTCGGTCAACTTGGGAGGAAGTAGCCGCAGCAGCGTGTTGCACTCGCCGTGAAGAAATTTCTTGAACTCGCCCGTTGTCTGCCCGTGCAGGTTGTCCGCGAAAAGGATAGACTGCTACTCCGGAACGACACCTTCCTCCCCCTTGATTCTGCGTAGGAAGCTGTTTCTTACCCACGCCATGCACGTTGGGCCGTCCATCCACACGATCTCATGGAAAAGCACCTCCACGCCGGGGCTTACGCCGCCTTCTCCACCGCCGAGACTTTGCCATTGCCACTGAAAATGACCGCGGTCCGCATCGAATCGTCGCCAGCTCCGACGCAACAGTTGACGGTGCACTGTCGCTTCTCAAGACCAGGGAACGGCTGCACAATTTGCACTCGCAAAGCTCCCGTCTCGTCCCATGTCGAGTCGAGGCCGTTGACGAATGCGAGCCCAACCTGGTCGACGTTGAAACGCGCATTCAGGCTGAAGCGCCCGTAGAGGGGAGATTCCACAGGAACGATCGCAGCGCCGTTGTTCTCGGCGGCACCCCCAGCAGCGGCCCGGCGAACGGGTGGTTCCTGCCGCAGCTGGCGCAGCCTCCTGTGGAAGCTCTTCATCTGCGGAAGACGGTCCTCCACCGACTTGTTCTTCATGTTTGTGCGTCTTCGTTTCGAGAGATGGTGGCGCTTCGCGAACTTCCTGCACCACCGGTCCGACGCTGAAAAGTTCTTTGCACGCGGGTCGTCCGGATACATTTCCACCACGAGCTTTCTCGCGTTGACTCGAATCCAGGCTGTCGACACTCTGAGCTTCCTCTTGCGCCGTTGCAGCAGCAGCGAGTGCAGCTTCTTCTTCTCTGCGTCTCCGAACCACCTCCTCTCCCTGCCAGTCTTGAAAAGGTCTTTCTTCAAGTCATTGGCCGCGGCTGCGATCAGCTTCTCGGCGTCACCGTTCCACTTGCAGATGTTGGGTTGGGGAATGTCGGTCTTCCTTGCCAGGAACTGCTGGCACTACACGCCGTGAACATGCCCAATCTTTCGGCGTGGTCGGCCTCCAGCTCTCGCAGCTCCGCGACCACCGCAGCCTTCTTCCTGTTGCTGTACTGCGTCCTCTTCTCAGCCCCTCCTGTTTTCTTCCGCTTGGTGCGTTCTTCGTCCGACAAAAGGCCGTCATCTGGCAAGCCTGATGTACCATCGCCTTGGGTCCTTGGCTGCAGCTCAAACGAACAGCTCCCTCGCACGTGGCACATTTTCCGGCCCGCCGCAGTGGTGTGCCCGCCTCCCTCTGAGTGGTGAAAGGCGACATTAAAACACCTGCCCGAATACCCGTGCCACGGTGGAGTCTTCATGGTCCCACCCGTCGCGAGGGCGCGCCTGAGCCCTCGTCCAAGATGCCGAAGAGGAGCTGGGTGCACGGCACTACAGTGTAGCGATCGACTTTGTTCGAAGGCAAAGGTCTTCGGGCAGTACAGGCACTTCAACTTGGGAGGAGGTGGTGCGATAGGATAGTGGACTCGGGTGACTTCCTCCACGATGCCATTGCGGGTACGCTTGATCTACGAGAAAATAGCAGCAAAGCGAGGCCAGGGGTACGGGGATTTTAGAGTGCAGCAAAAAATGTTTGTCAACTGTCTCTCCAAGTAATTTACAACAGACATTTTCAACGGCAGCGGCACGTGATTGGCACGCTTCGACAACAGCAGCAAATATCGCTGAAAAGAAAAGTTGCACAAAAACACGAGAGCAAAACAACGGGCAGTGCCAGGATTCAAAACCACGCCCTCGAACTCGATGGTGAACCAAAAAAATCCCCAGCAAAGCATTTCGTGTTTTGGTTTCTCTGCCGGCCAGATTGGCACACTTCGACACCAGCTGCAAGTGTTGCAGAAAAAACGTTGACAAAAAACACGAGAGTAAAAAGCAAAAGGGCACTGCCAGGATTCGAAACAGCGTCGGCAAACTCGATGGTGAACCAAAAGAATCCTCCGCAGGATGTTTTCGTGCTTTATTTTCTTTGCCTGTGACCAATGCGGGCGAGGGAGACGAAACAGGTGATGCACCGGACAAACACATGTCATTCACGAACATGGCCAAAGGATGCAAACGGAATCTCCATCCAACCCACCGGCTTGCTTGTTGCTGCGGCCCAGCTGTTGACGATGTTCGCGTGCATCCTGTTAGCCGCCGCCCTCGCTTCCTTGGCCGTGCGCTTGCCCTTTTTCTGTGCGGTCCTAGGAGTTTCCACCACCTGCGACCCACCAACCCCTGCTTCTCCGCCCGCCGCTCCCGACCGTGGTGCTCCGTCTCGCAAAAGGTCTGCAACTTTTGCATCTAGCTGCTCTCGGTAGTCTTCCGCCGTAACCATGCCGCTGGACAGCAAGTTGGCCATGCTCCACGTGCGACCAGAACTTGTCATCGATGGGCTTGTTGGCCATCACGTGCTTCTTGATGAAATCTTTGTGGCTGCTCTCCTTGATGTAGCCGGCATCAACAAACTTCGACAACCTCTCGAGGTTGCCGATGGATGCGTCTGAAAGCGGCATTGCCTTCCTTGTGCATGAAGAACACGAATTCAGCTTTTTTGTGAGCGGTGGTGGCGCTTCTGGGGGGTCCGCCGACGCAGTCTCAAGGAGATCATACCCTCCTGCGGCGGAAGAAGGCCCACGCCCATTGTATGCGCGTGGACGCCGTTTCTCATTTCCTGCGGCCAACCTTGGATCGTTTGTTTCTTATGTCTAGGAAGTCGAAATTGTGCTGTTTCTTATCAGTCCGTTTCTTATCACTCTCCGTCAAAGTAGCTCAATTTCTTAGGCGCTTTTTCTTATGCAACCCAAAAATATGACCCTCGGTTTCTTACGAGGGTGTTTCTTACGAGTGGGCCGGCACTGTAGTCACCGTTCACCGTGCTGCTTCGAACTGCAATTCCTGTCGGTTGAATTGCTTCTGTTTCGGTTTAGTCCGGACTGCACGCCGGTTGTGGGCAAGCCTGCCACCGAGGTTGACGGTGGCTACTACCGTCTTGTGGTCTGAGTCTGCTTTGACTGGGCGAACCGGCTGGGGGATGACGACCACGTTAGATACTCGGCCGTGATGTGCCTACCTTGTCAGGATGTTGTCAAGGCGCTTGCAATTGTTTCCCGACACACCGTTGTATGTGTGCGATATTCCGCCCTTGCGTGTCTCAAAGAACGTGTTTGTGAGAGCTAGCCTGTTTTCCGTTACGAAAGTCAACAGTAGCATGCCATTGTCGTTGAGCTCATCACGCCCGTACATTCCTATTACCCTTCAGTCCCCTCCGTCCAACCTATCTCCCGTCCGCGTTTTGGCGTCCAGTAGGGCATACAAACATTCTTTGGAAGCGACCCCTCCGCACGAGGATGTCAAGTTTTCCTCAGAACACGCGTTTGCTGTCGCGGTTGAAGGTTCGGTTGGAGCATACGCGGCAGCGAAGTTGACCGCTCCACGGAGGACTGCCAACAGAAACCTCATGGCCATAAGGCGTTCGTCGATAAACTCCATTGTGAACGTGGATGTCTTGCACAGTGACTCTTTGACGGCTATCCCCACACCATGGACTCCACCAGTCTCCGTGCCATCCCAGAACACCCGGAAACCCGCTACTGCAAATTCCGTTCGACCTGCCCTCCGTGTCTCCTGCATTCCTACCACTGATACGTCTTGTCTCGCTGTGTTAGATATACTCGCAGCAGTATCTGGTCGTGAGGATCCCAAGGGGATACGTGTTGGGAATTTCGTGTGCTGTAGGGTACCACCGGTGCAGTCACGGGGACCCTTTTGGCGCGGTTGGGACGATGAGGCTTGCGTGCGTGTTGCGCACCTCTTTCTTCCTTCTCTCCTTCCACCGCTACCGCCGTCTCTCTCCAATCAAGTTTCCTTCTCCCACTCTCTCTCTCCACTTCTCTCTCAGTCTCTCACTCTCGACCTAACACGGCCGACTACCCAGTGCCCCAAGTAACGCTCAGGACGGGCTTGCTGCACCCCGCGTAGGTTGCCTTTCACACTAGTGTGCCGATATCACCGTATCTGCGCGCGGGCGTAGCCTTCCGGGGGTTGTGCAATCACGCGCAATCGGTAGACTCCCACAACAACAGACACCATGGAGGGCATCGACCGCTCCGCCCTTAGCGGGGAAGAACTACAACAAAAAGTGGAGGAGATCGTCCTGCAACGAGTACAAGCCGAACTTGAAGCCAACAGGATGAACGAGGGTGAAGTCACCTACGCCCAACCACCAGCCGTCAACCCAGTCCCACCTACTGGCAACCAGCCATCAGCCTTCAGCCAAGGCAAACCAGCCACCTTCAACGACCCCAGCAGCGTCGCACACATCGTGGCGCAAGCGGCTAAGGCGACAGCTGAGGCCATTGCTGAACAACAGAGCTTTGCCCGCTCAGGCACGTTACGTGTCAATCCTGGCTCAAAAATGGAACCTTGGCTTGGTAGCGTGAAGATGGAGCAGGATATGTATACTATGTTTGATATTTTTCGGACTAAGATGATTTCATATTTTCAGGAGGAGGGTGTGCATGATGCGTTGGAACTGGAGGTCGAGGTCAAGGTCGGAAAGAGGGGTGTGAATGTAGCAGTGCTTCGGAGACTTTTTGGCAATATTGTGGTAGACAAGTCTTTCAAGCTATGGAATATTCTCGTCAGCACGGTTCTGTACCCCCCGATTCAGGGCTTGGTTCTGGCGTGAGAGAGTCCACAAATGGCTGGAAAATAGTGACAGAGTTCTATCATGAGAAGAAGCAGTCAGAAAAGTCGAGGTTGGAGCAGGACTGGAAGGAATTGGAGATGAAAGCGTCTNCTCGCTCTCGCCGCGTCCGGCATGGGCCGGCGCGGCGGGGGCAGTGGGGGGGCATCCGGGGGTCAAGACGGCAGTCACGCAGCAGCTGGCGGCCAAGATAGAGACGGAGAGAATAAAAACGGTGATGTGTTCAACGACGACCCCTACGGATTTTGCCGCTACCACCAGTCCGAGCTTCACACCAACGAACAGTGCCGTTTCCAGCGGCAACTGCGGCGCGCGATTTCGAGAGAGGGCGCCGAGGAACGCCGCTCGGGGGGCTGCAGCCGAGGTGGCGGCGGTAGCCAGCGAGGGGGTAGACCGCCGACGGGCCCCGGCCGCGGTGGCGGGCGATGGGTGAGGATTGAAGGGCAGCAGCACCACACCGGTCATGGTGGCGGTGGCTGGAGCCAAGCCTCGCCCCCCCCGCGACCTCTTCGTGGACGTGGGCCTGGTTGTCGGCTGGGGGTCATCCGGGGGGTCGTGGGCCCGCGGGACGCCACAGCAGCGACGGTCGTGCCGAGTGAGCGGGCAGGGAGAGGCCCGGGGCACGCGCGTTCTGGCCACGGACGAGAGCAGGCGCACGTAGCGTACCACGCCCACGATGATGGTGGTTACTACGAAGACTACGGCGACTACGATGACGGATACTATTGCGACGACGGCTACTACGACGCCGGGTACGCACACTACGCCAGCGGTGGGGACAGCTGCAGCTACTCCTCGGGGCACGAAGACAGCCCGCTCATCTGACGGCGGCATCCACTACGTCTACTACCCTCCCGCTGGCGATGATTCGTCATTCGAGCAGCCACGTCAGCCCCCCCCCGCGAGCAGCAGCACCACCGCTTCCTCCTCGTCCTCTACTCCTTCTCCTGGCGCGCCTCCATCTTCGGGCTACCTCCACCTCTGCACGGCACAATCGGTGCCCCAAGGCAAGTCTCACCCGGAAGATATTTTTAGTAGGATAGGAGTGACGACTGGAGTAGAGTCTGCTGCGTCTGCTTCGTCTTTGCTGAGTGTGGAATCTAGCGAGGGGCCGGTTGGTAGCTAGCTGACTCAGGAGCCAGCAACAGTTTCACCAACAGCAGCCTGCACATGTATGACCTGCAAGAGATCCCCGCCAGTAGGAAGTATGTCGTTGTAGGTGATGGTCGACTGCTAGAAGTGCAAGCCATCGGTGGTAGTAATCTTAGTTTCTTTCAGGAGGATGAGAACGGTGAGAAAACGACGATGTGTGTGAAGCTCACTGACGTGTCTGTCGTAGAGAGCCTGAGCTTCAACTTTTTCTCAACGCATGCTGTTTCTCTGAAGCAACCAATCCTCCACGACGAACGTGGTGCAACCCTACAAATTGGACTGCCTTTGCTAGAGAGGAAAAAGCGTCTGCAGCGTATGCCATGCGGTTGCCGTACGACCCATCTGCGACAATTGTAGACCCTGCTGCTTTGCCCGCATTCGTGACTGCCCCCGATTCCGCCCC